GAAATATATTGGCAAAACAGAAAGAAAAATTAGCACAAGAATCAAGGAATATCAATGGCTCTGCAGGAAAATGGATACTGAAAGATCAGAAATAGCAGTACACATCGCACTAACTGGACACGAGATCAATTGGAAAGCAACAGAAAGGAAAGCTCCATACGGTGACAACACAAGGAAGCGGAAGATTAGGGAGGCCAATGACATCCCTGGGGATACAAATCTAATAAACAGGAGATTTGAGGAAGGTAGAGTTAGCGAAAACTTTGCCTATTGCCTTAGCAAAATCAGAGAAAACAATAGAGCAAGACCAGCAAAAAGGATACGCTTGGAGGAGGGATCTGCTGCTAATAGGAGGAAAAGGGTTGCCATGAGAAAAGGGGAGCAAGGGTATTCGGCAATTAAGCGAAGACGTTGTCAGGGAGTGATGGCCATTTGAATAAACCAGTTAGGGAGCTGGGCAGACGGATAAGCACACCGTCATAGAAATTAGAGGTTCTGGCCAAAATGAACTAGAAATCCACTTGAGATGCCGCATGCCACCAGAGATAGGCGTCCACAGTTTGCTCAGATAACATTGGTATAATCAAGGAGTTGACCAGTGTAGGGAAGGCCTGATATCTGCAAGCATGGCAATCAGAACTTAAGCGCTCCGCTCAATGAAGCGGCAGTCTATGTGCTTCTAGGGCCTTGAGAAATAGCGCCTGGAGTGAAATACACACTGGGACTGGACCCAAATGAAATCGGTAACCAGAAAGATAAGGAACGGATCTACGAGACAATGAGGGGATCCGGATTGGAGGTCCGAGTCGGATCAGCCGATCGAAAGAGTGGTGTCGGGGTATATATTAAGTGTGATGATGCCAGACTAGATTTGCCACAAAAGGGCACACATTTTGACGAGTGGAATGTAAACAAGTGAGAAGTTGTGATAGGGCGCCGGTGGGATAAGAGGGTAAAGAGTACATAGATAGACAATGACAGAAAGAGGAGTGATAGTATAATCGTTTCGGGCAGAATGGTTGTCGAGGGATTGACTTCACTTGTCTCTGACGGGTTCGTATCTTGGTGCGGAGAATGGCAAGACTCACTGGTGATGCCGGCGAAACGCTTGAGAATGTATCAAGTCAACTGTCAGATGCTATGAATCAAGGCAACTACTATGGCAGACGACTTCGGACTAGGTGTGTTCTACACTCTTCCTGAACACAAAACCAAGTTGTGACAACGAGGTCAACCCACTTCTATAAATCGAAAGGAGACTGCGACCATAACAGAGGCCACAACATCCTGGTCTTCATATATACGTCTTTGCTTTATTTCCTATACGTCTTCATCCTTTTCTCTCCTGCTCTCCTTTCGTTTACAATATACCCTTGATCCAGACGTCTCCTTTTTGTTTGTCTTGTCGTATCCTTGTTTTCTTATTGCTAGATTATGCACTTGGCAATGTTGTCACTAACTCTGTCTTTTTCCTATCTCCTGTTCATTAAATTTTTTCCCTATGGATGTCGGTGGCCTCCTTAATCTTTCCTTTTCTTACGCTTCACTGTATGAGGCCCTTCTTTATGTTATCTTCTAATTTATCTCCTGCCCAATTTGTGTGTTGCGCTATTTTTGATCCTCCGGTATCTATTTTTCTGTCTCTTACGTCAATATATTTCTGTTCGCATAAATCTCATGCTATGTAGTAAACTTCCGAGTAATACTATTTGTCCATTCATGTTGCGTGGGTAGGCTTTTGAAGAATGCTGTTTTTTCTTTCTTGGTCACCTGAATATTTCATTTTCATTATATTGGGCGTAATTTTTGAGCTACTTCGCAAGAAGGGATGCATATTCACTTCTGTGGGTCTTTCTTCATCTTTATCATATTTTCATAATTACTGTCCTGCCATCGGATCTTCCCGGCCAGTACGTTTCTTTCTATTAATTCTTTAGGTCATCCGTTGCCGAGGCATATCCGAGTCAAAATTTCATATTTTTCATCCTAGAATTCCAAGTCCGTTTATCGTAGGCTTCTAGTGATCATGTTTCTTAGTATCCATATCTTCACCCCACAGTAAATTCCCTAAAAGGACGCACCTATGGACGAGAATGGAACAAGAGGGTAGGGAATAGATAGAGGGATCAGAGCTGGAGGGGTGATAACACAACTGTTTTGGCAGAAAGTTGGTAAATGGATTTGATTCTCTTATCTCTGACGATTTGCCGCTTGGTGCTTATAATGTCAATGCTAACTTAGAATGTACCAAGTCCATGGTCCGTCGCTTGAAAATTGATAACTACTATGATAGAAAACTTAGGGCAAGGTGCGTCCAACTAAGTCGGCCTGACACCAATTCCAAGTTGCGAATGCGAGGTCAGACTACATCTATACAGTATATTAGATACTTGATGTATATCCGTAGTTTTCTATTTCACCTGATTCGACTGTGGTGCCAAATTTTGATTGGTCAATGTGAAATAAAGATTGTGGATTTGTCATAATTTTACGCGATCTGTGTTCAAAGGTGTTAAGCCATGACAACGTACTTGATACAACAAAATTAAAAATTGAATGAAGAAGTTTGGGGATAGGTAACTACAAGAGTAATCATTTCTCTAAATTTGCTTACCGGTTTTCATTTTCTTACATATAACGGCATTATTTACTATTAAACTCAGGTTGCGTTCTTAATTCTCCTCTCGGACGTCGTGTCTCAACTCTATCCTGCGACAGCTATACACCTACACGCTCCGGACAAAACTCAGGACTTTCTTCGCCCTCTTTGGTATCCGTACGGACTACGCGCGCCGGTTTTTCAGCTCTGCCCTCCGACCAACTGCCGCATCACCACCTTCAGCCCCAGCAGAACCCACATTTGTTGCAACCACAACAGCGTGCGCTTGTACAAGCCTGCATAGTGCGTCACTCTGCTCCCCGAGCCCGTTGGTCCTCTCCGCCAGCGCCAGCCTTCACGGTCACCTATCGGTTCGTCTACGCCGATCGCCTGCAGCAGTGGAGCGAAGCGCAGGACCTAGTCTGCCCGTGGTGCTATCTGAGCACCGGACGGGCAAAGTCGAAAGGTATTCGTCAAGCCAGCTCGACGCTAATGAATACATCTTTTCGACATCTTAATTGTCACTGCGGATTCTTTTGCGGAGGATTTAACTGTTTACCAAGATTGTCCGGGCCTTCATGAGAACCTGAGCCGAAAAAGCAGTCCAAAAGCTAACGGACGCTGTCTCTTGGATTCCACTTCCTCCATCCTTTTCATTTTGAGTGTGAATCAACTCCAGCTCTCTATAGGTCTCATAAGCAGAATGTGGAGCATCAACCCAAGTCAAAAGGTAGATGGATGTTACAGGTAAGCCTGCTTTTAAATCAGGCTGATACTGTGATACCATGGTTCGAGATTGTATCCCATGGATACAAGGACGTTGCGAATAAGTTCCCCATGGTTAACCGTCTAGTTTGTTTTCACTTTTCCTAAAACAGAGCCTGCAACCTAGCCTTCGCCCTGGGCATTCCTCTGCCGGCGAGATAGCTGGAGGAGCTTTTCAAGTTAGGTAGACAATAAACTCGAAGCTACGCTTTATGGAATTTAGTGACACAAGTTGGCTGCTTTTTGATGTACAATGAAATCCATTGGCGGTTTTTATTCCCTTGTCTATTGGTAAAACAGGTTGGTTTTTCCACTGATATATTGCCAATTTTTGCGGCATTCTATTTTACATCGTTAAGGAATATTTTAGAAATTCCTTCTCGAATAGATTATATTATAGATTTATTTGCCGCATTTTAAATAGTTTATATTGTGCCTTTCATGTCGTAAGCTTTATGATTTTGTCAGATATCTGATGTATA